AAGCACTGCCACAACCTTAGAAACTGCCCCCATCAATGACACTTAGTAACGCTGAGGCCGCCAACACACTGAAACTCATTACCATTTGAAACCTATGTGTGTAAAAAGTCAGGTCAGCTCTATGGAAGTACTCAAGCATTACAATCTGTAATTAACATGAAATGCCAATACTCTACCATGCAAATTGCTTGAGAACTACCATCTTCAAATGGCTTCTAATCAGCACAAGTGGCTTAGAACCTCAACACTCTCACTGAATTAATTGCCAAGCAAGTCATTGCTCCAACATTAGAAAGCTGTGTGAATCAGAGCACCCCATAGCCCACATCATTCATACCGCTTCTCTGTATTGTCATACATGTATACAATACATGAATACTGCCAAGCATTGATATCACCACTTTCTTTGTAGCAAGTGACATACACATTTAAAAGCCTCCTAACAAAATCAGTACCATATGTGTAAGACATGAATTATGACTTGTTTGTACAGAACATGTCACAGTTGAGTACAGAACACAGTAAGTTTGCTGCTGAGAGGTATATTCACAGCAGTATTTCAAATATGCCATTCGGTATTCACAGAATTTGAGATGGAATGATCAACGATTATGATGGCTGTAATGTGGTGTTCTATGAGATATATATTGCTACTTATAGCTGGTTACAGCATCACCGACATCCTGGGAGAACCTGACCATCTGTACCATCACACAACACAGCAGCAGGCAACCTCACACATTCATAATCAATTGGGTTATTTCTATCCACATAATGACATGAATACATCATACAGCACTGGACTACAGCACTGGACTACAGCACTGGACTACACAGTGGACTACAGCCCACCAGGGTCCGAAAACTATGCTATCCCGTCAGCCCAAGGCTAGTACATCTTTGTAAGGACTAGTAAAAGAGATGGAAAGGTAGCCCGGCTGGCTAGTGTATTTATAATTGAGTGACACAACAAAGTAAATGTAAAGGGTCTTTGGGATCCATCATACACAACACTCACAGCATGGTGCTAGAAGTAAACAGCAGGGTATGTTGCATGAAAATCTTGATTCAACATTCACGTTTCTACAATCAGAGACAACATAATAGGAACAGAATTCAGAACGAGTTAAGCTCTAAGCATTGAATGTGAACTATGCTTGTCGTAAAAGGCGACTAACGGGATCGGGTGGTCAGGCTCGCTGACTTGGTTGATGCATGTCATCGATCCCAATTGCATGGATCGATGCTCATGATATTAATCACTGGACTGTCTGGTCCAGACTCGATTATTTACAGACCGCCATCATATAGCTAAAATATTGCTGAGTGCGACGTTAAACAACAAACCAACAACCATTGAATGTGAATATGTACAACAATCTAAATCTCTTATTTCTCCTAAGTCCAGTTTTCAATCAACAAAAACGGGAAAGTAACATTGTGTTGTTTGGTTATATTACTGGACAGAAATTAATGGCATAGCTACCTGGGATTATTGTTTTTATAATTAGAACTTATCGACTGTCATAGTGTTCAATTAATAATAAAGCTATAAATATTATGTCCGACAATTATTATCATTCCCTACTTGTCATTCAGGTCTATTAGAAACTGTTTGTAGGTGAATGAAAAAACCCACTGTAATTGCTGCAAGATAAGAGGCTCTAAGACTTGTACCTATGCCCAAATTGCAACTAGCATGATTGCATCTGAAAATCATTTTGTGGTGCAATCCCACGATCCCACCTGACCATTCATTTGAAAATATTTATGTTAAAAATCATTATGTCAAAAGGTTTTCATGGCTAGTGTGTCCTAAGACTTGATTATTATGAGTGATTACTAGCCCTTGAGTCTTGTGCCACAAATATCCAGTTGTCTTAACCCCCTGGATGCCACAGGGACATATATGTCCCTCCTCTACAACCCTCACTTTGAAGTCAAATAAAATTCAAAATACATCACCCACACAGATATACTTCAGTTTTGAATAAAGTGGGAAATTCCCTTTTCTGTGATATCATCCACTGGCATTTTGGGCCAAGCAAAAGTACTGAAAATGACCTCTGATCTCATTAAAATAAGATCTTAGTTCTTGCTTCCGCTAAACAAAGATCTGAGGACATCCCATTAGGGGTTACGTCAGAACGACCTTTCATCCAACCAATCACAGCGTCGCTTACCAGATCATGAAAGTGACAGTCAGAATTCGATTTCTAATCATACAGCCTCGAAAACTATAAAACGGGGTATCCGAACGATAGTTACAGGCGTAACGACTGAATCTATACAATCTAGACCATATATATTAGCCAATCAATACTGTTCTTTTGTTCAGGTTTCAAATTTTTAAGCGAGAATTTGTCAAAATATCTTTCGAAGTGCCAATTTGAAATTAGTGCCATAAAGCACAAGAAAGCTGCCTTCTGACTGGTTAATGTCGACTTCTTATCAGTAATTCCTTTGGTCGGTCAGAGTTTGCGAAAGGTCGGTCTGACGTGACCCAAAATGCCATTTTGTAAAAGTCGGTCACCGGTAGTGATGTCATACGTCAACATTGTTGTAAATTATTTGGTAATTCCTTTAAGGTGAAGGTCCTTGAATGAGATCACTGTGCCAAGCTGTTTACAGTTTTACTTACGATGTACATTTTACCTGTCTTTTATAAATTTTTTCACACAATTAATTTCACTTTGGATATTTGTCAATGTTCAAAATGATATCATACGTAAATTTAGGCCACAACACGTATGAACGGACCTTGGATAATCTCCTGTTTGCTTGAACATTGTTTACATAAGAATTGATAGGTTTATAGTGTCAAATACGATATTTCTTTCCTTTGGACAAGTGTTACAAGATGAAGTGTAAATGTAACTGCAGCATGTACGTATTTCTTGGGATGTGTTATAGTCAATATTCAATAGTCATTATTCATTCAAGTTCATATAACCAATGTCCATGAATAGCCGTTTCATTATATTTTACAACTAAAACAGAATATATTACTTTAACAAAATGGATAATATTTTTCGTTAAAATATATGCACCCATTTCTGAAAGAATTGTCTTGGTCTTGAATTGTTTTTTATGTCGTAGGCAACACAGAACTGTGATATCTAACGATTTGCAAGGTGCGCGTTAGTCACAAACAATTTACGAATTATTCCTCTCGTTTTGCATTATATAATCAATGGGTTCATTCTTTTTTCAATATTGTGATCACATGATATTAAACTGTTTACTTTATTTCTCCAGGAATTATAAAATGTATGAAAATAAAACCCATGCCATGTACCCCGTTGGTTCAACCTTATACGATTATACTGATAATTCTTTACCAATAGAGCTTTCTTCACATCTTTTATTGTGTAATTCTGAGACGAGATGAAGAGAAATAATAACATAATAATGAACAAATATATGTCCAATATTGAATATAATTTTGGTTGTTTTGAAATATTCTTTTGGGTATTTCATTATTAAATTGATGCCAAACAGGTGTCTTGTCCAATTAAGATACACGATAAACTATCTAATTGATTATATGTTCAAGACATTATTTACTTGGTGAAAGCAGTCATTTTATGTTGTGTAGAAATAGTGTCAAATTTCGTTTTACACATCGAAATTTTCCACACAATGAACGAAAATTAGGGGAGATATATATTAATCAAAATACCAGTGTCATCTTTCTCCAACGTTATCAAAGACATAAAACCAGCCATGACATCAAACAGAATGGTGTTATTTTTTTTGTATTTCATTACATTTGAGGATAAGGCTAGCCCTCCATAATAATGATGCAACCTTAGTCAAATTACACTTACACATTCAGGAGAATTTTGGATTCTAAGGACTAAGTTATAGGTTAGATTGGGCCATCCATTTCTCTATTACCTATGAAGTACGATTTAATCATTTCTTACGGGTTTCGTTTATAACTAAACGTATACAGTTTCAATATCGATATTTGTGTTGGAATAGTTTGGTTCCTCGTGAATAAAACACCACAAAAATATATTGTCCTTACCCACAGCTAATTCTCACCAAGTGACCTGAGTTACAATAAACTGATGTTAAGCATAGTGGAATTATGCCCCCTTTTCTTTGTACGTGCATAACCTCTCTGTCGCCTTTTGACGTCGTAGAGAAAAATCATTTTTTGCCACTTACGGCATGCTATTTTTGGCATTGAATGTATGTCGTTATAAATATGCATATAACTCCATTTGATATGTGGTTATGTCGTTCAGATATTAGGTTGTATTTTGTTCGCTCACAGTTTCCGTAAAGCTTCTAAATTAAAAAATCGTCTCACAGTACTTTTATCGGTGTAGGATAAAAAGCGGAGAAATATACTGTTTTTCAACGCAGAATAAATTCTTGGACAACATTTAGAAGTGCCTTTTTTTAATACCGGTTTAATATTTGCAGTTTAATTTACACCATCAAATAGGAAATTTAATATTCTCCACCACTGCGTAATTTTATAGCCAGAAGAAGATCCAGTGCCGCATGAGCGCAATTCTCGCACAACCTTCACTTGTCTGATCTTAGAAAAATGTGCGTCAGAAAAAAACTCGGCATCCAGAGGGTTAAGCTGCAGGCCACTGGGGAACCAGGAACACAGTTGTCCCCAGTTCCTATGTTTGTATGTGGCACATGGCCAATCTTTTATCCTCCTTATTCCTACCCTGACCACCTGGTATTGTGTCCAGACTTACAGGACACCATGACATAGCTGGAGTACGGCTGGCTGTGGTGTAACACAACATTCACACACATTCCTCTCAGACGGGGTACAACGGCCTGCCAAGTCAGCAAGTCATTGGCTGGAACTGGACTTACCATGAGTCTCCAAGGAAACAGAAACACTATTCCTCCTTCATTATGTCAACACAACAATAAAATCTTAAAATTTAAACTAACAAGAAAATGGTGTCAAACAGTGACATGTTCAGTAACCAAACTTATGCCACAATGATGACTTTTCCCACCTTTGCTATAAGGCCCATTTGTTGCTTGTAAGCTTTTCCACCTTCCAAGTTAGAGAATTCCTGAGCGACATTCTGTAACACAGAGTCTGTGGTGTCAATTTTGGGTGGTCGTCCCATTGGGAAGTAAAATTTGGGAATATTGGCACTACTGTGAACACTAGTCCTTGGTGTTGGCAAGTCACGCCTCTTGGGCTTATTCTCCTTGTCCTCTGTCGAGTGGGGCACAATGACTGGACGGCTGTTCGACTCTGTGTCTTTCTCGCGTGGATGTTCATCTCGTAATATGCTCTGCAGGCTGTCTTCTTTCGCATTGGACACAGCTGGCTGCAAAAACAAAGCGCCATTTACTTAGTTGTCAATAATTAAATCTTAATCTCAGTTTATCTGGTACAAAGGAAACATTACACCGAGTTGGATGATAACCGTCACTAAAACATGGATATTGTTCAGCACCCAAAGATCCATTTATGATATTCATATGAAGTGGTGCCATTTTATGAAATATACAAATGATAGAATTATAATTCACGAAACATTCATGACCTAGTTTCATTCTCAGGGGGAACAAGGCTCAATTACCGCTCACAATAATGCGATGATTAGTGAGTGAGTTGGGTATAGCGTCGCTTTGAACAGTACTCCAGTTATATCACAGTGTGTCAGCTTGATGTCGGAGGAAAACCCCGAAAGTGATGCAGATATCAGGTGTTGATCACATTGGTGAAAACCACGATATAAACCTAGAAATATAATCAGGGCATACCATGATTTCAAACCCACAATCATAGGTTTCAGGTGTGCCCAACGGACACAACTCTAACGTGATAATTAACCTGTGTTCAGTGATACAATGCCAAAAAGACATGGACACAACTAACCCATAACAGACAGAAGGCAGTCTTTATGTTGTAAGTGATATGAGCTTTGAAACTCCATCAATAATAATTTTCAAAAATAATTTTGTCATATTTTGTGCAGAACTAAGCAAGTATTTATCCAATCTATTCGAACCCTGTATCTTCACATGTTTGGGACAATTCTCTGACAACTAAGGTTCGTTTAAAGGCATCGATAGCGGTAATCTGATCATGGTTGCTGTAAATAACAGTGTCTCAGTGCCCAATTTCTCCGAAATTAATGTAAATGATATTGAATGAAATTTTGAAAATATATAACATATTTTACAACCATAAGTCCAGGTATACAATGAACACATCTTTAAACCCAAATAGGGAAATAATAGGATTAAATTGTCAAAACATCATATCAGTGCAAAACTTGAGTTTATTAAAAATGTATGTAAATGTATGCCATGTAATTGCTTAGGTTTAAACATTTCAGTGATATTTTATGTGAAGCAAACAAGCAACACATCTCGACAATGCCACTTATAGCCTAATGTCTTGGATGACAGTCGCAAAAGGGGACTTGGCAAACTAACATGAGTAACGCTACAGCATGGCTTGCATATATTCCACTTTGCATATCTTGCTTTCATAAATAAACACTCTTTTGATTTATTTCATAAATATTCGATTCCAGTGACCAAAAATAACAAATTCAATTCATAAATGGCTACAGTTTAATTCATCGAATACGAAAGTGAATCGTAACAGCCCTAGTAAATGGTCACAACCTTCTTGTCTGCACGTTAGTGAACAGTGACAACCATCTTGTCTCCACACGTCAGTGAACGGTGACATCCATCTTGTCTGCACACGTCAGTGAACAGTGACAACCATCTTGTCTGCACACGTCAGTGAATGGTGACAACCATCTTGTCTGCACACGTCAGTGAACGGTGACAACCGTCTTGACTGCACGCCAGTGAACTGTGACAACCATCTTGTCTGCACGTATCAGTGGACAGTGACATCCATTTTGTCTGCACGTCAGTGAACTGTGACAACCATCTTGTCTGCACATGTCAGTGAATGGTGACAACCATCTTGTCTGCACATGTCAGTGAACTGTGACAACCATCTTGTCTGCACACGTCAGTGAATAATGACAACCATCTTGTCTGCACGTTAGTGAACAGTGACAACCATCTTGTCTCCACATGTCAGTGAATGGTGACAACGATCTTGTCTGCACACGTCAGTGAACTGTGACAACGATCTTGTCTGCACGTCAGTAAACGGTGACAACCATCTTGTCTGCACATGTCAGTGAATAGTGACAATCATCTTGTCTGCACATCAGTGAACTGTGACAACGATCTTGTCTGCACATGTCAGTGAACTGTCTGCACGTCAGTGAAACGGGACAACCATCTTATCTGCACGTCAGTGAACGTAATTGATCAGTTGTACTGTATTAAGCTTGTGTTTGGGACAGGAATAATTTGTACATAACAGATAGATGGGTTTAAAGCAGAACTATGGTTGTCACTGTTCATTTAAGAATTGACTTTACTATGGTTTATCATTTATGGAGGTATAACTATAAACATAAAACAAGTATGCGCAATTGTACTGAAGTAAAGTTTTATAAGTTAGTCAACAGTAATATTGTCACAGACTGCTTGTTTTTTCATTAACTCAATACACTGTAGACAACACAAAATCAGTGACCTCATTCAGCTCAGGGATGCATCACAAGCCTGGTGTCCACTCTACAGACAGTGAGGATGCAGTAGTCCACCACTGGGACTGTGGCATAATCTTTTTTTTGTTTTATGTGAACATAAACACATAAAGCCTTGCCTAGTTTGCCAATCAAATGCCATGCAATCACTGATAATTTATTTTTTTCACTGTTTCACTTGTCTGATGTGCAGTTCACTGACGTGCATACGAAAGTGAATCGTAACAGCCCTAGTAAATGGTCACAACCTTCTTGTCTGCACGTTAGTGAACAGTGACAACCATCTTGTCTCCACACGTCAGTGAACGGTGACATCCATCTTGTCTGCACACGTCAGTGAACAGTGACAACCATCTTGTCTGCACACGTCAGTGAATGGTGACAACCATCTTGTCTGCACACGTCAGTGAACGGTGACAACCGTCTTGACTGCACGCCAGTGAACTGTGACAACCATCTTGTCTGCACGTATCAGTGGACAGTGACATCCATTTTGTCTGCACGTCAGTGAACTGTGACAACCATCTTGTCTGCACATGTCAGTGAATGGTGACAACCATCTTGTCTGCACACGTCAGTGAACTGTGACAACCATCTTGTCTGCACACGTCAGTGAATAATGACAACCATCTTGTCTGCACGTTAGTGAACAGTGACAACCATCTTGTCTCCACATGTCAGTGAATGGTGACAACGATCTTGTCTGCACGTCAGTAAACGGTGACAACCATCTTGTCTGCACATGTCAGTGAATAGTGACAATCATCTTGTCTGCACATCAGTGAACTGTGACAACCATCTTGTCTGCACATTAGTGACCAGTGACAACCATCTTGTCTGCACATCAGTGAACTGTGACAACCATCTTGTCTGCACACGTCAGTGAATAGTGACAACCATCTTGTCTGCACGTTAGTGAACTGTGACAACGATCTTGTCTGCACGTTAGTGAACTGTGACAACCATCTTGTCTGCACGTCAGTGAACTGTGACAACCATCTTGTCTGCACGTCAGTGAACTGGGACAACCATCTTATCTGCACACGTCAGTGAACTGTGACAACGATCTTGTCTGCACATCAGTAAACTGTGACAACGATCTTGTCTGCACATGTCAGTGAACTGTGACAACGATCTTGTCTGCACGTCAGTGAAATGGGACAACCATCTTATCTGCACGTCAGTGAACTGTGACAACGATCTTGTCTGCACATCAGTAAACTGTGACAAGGATCTTGTCTGCACATGTCAGTGAACTGTGACAACGATCTTGTCTGCACATCAGTAAACTGCGACAACGATCTAGTCTGCACATGTCAGTGAACTGTGACACGATCTTGTCTGCACGTCAGTGAACTGTGACAACGATCTTGTCTGCACATCAGTGAACTGTGACAACGATCTTGTCTGCACATGTCAGTGAACTGTGACGACGATCTTGTCTGCACGTCAGTGAACTGTGACAACCATCATGTCTGCACATGTCAGTGAACTGTGACAACGATCTTGTCTGCATGTCAGTGAACTGTGACAACGATCTTGTCTGCACATCAGTGAACTGTGACAACGATCTTGTCTGCACATGTCAGTGAACTGTGACAACGATCTTGTCTGCACGTCAGTGAACTGCACATCAGACAAGTGAAACAGTGAAAAAAATAAATTATCAGTGATTGCATGGCATTTGATTGGCAAACTAGGCAAGGCTTTATGTGTTTATGTTCACATAAAACAAAAAAAAGATTATGCCACAGTCCCAGTGGTGGACTACTGCATCCTCACTGTCTGTAGAGTGGACACCAGGCTTGTGATGCATCCCTGAGCTGAATGAGGTCACTGATTTTGTGTTGTCTACAGTGTATTGAGTTAATGAAAAAACAAGCAGTCTGTGACAATATTACTGTTGACTAACTTATAAAACTTTACTTCAGTACAATTGCGCATACTTGTTTTATGTTTATAGTTATACCTCCATAAATGATAAACCATAGTAAAGTCAATTCTTAAATGAACAGTGACAACCATAGTTCTGCTTTAAACCCATCTATCTGTTATGTACAAATTATTCCTGTCCCAAACACAAGCTTAATACAGTACAACTGATCAATTAAAGAGACCTGCACTGAAGCTCGAAATGTAAATTCTTATGCACAGCATTAGTGTTCACAAACATTGCTTGAGCTTGCCCCTGCATTGTGCATGAGTCCGATCAGCATGATGATCCAAATAACTGGTCATATTTCATAGCTTTCACAAAAGGATTCCAAAAGTGGACTTGATGGTGATCATTTAAGAATCCCCCATAGAAAACTGTTAAGTTTAACAGCAGAAAAGAACTATGATGACTCATGTAGCTGAATGAGCAAGAAAAGTTCAAAGTTCCACCACACATCTCCTCCTCCTCCTCCTCCCCCTCCTCCACCAGTGCTGGGGCTCCACGCATATCTGGCAGGTCAGTGCTGCAGCATCACAGTCTGGCAGTCACACTTCCAACATTACACACTGGTTACACAACATGAAACGTCAAGCATTTGGATGTTCCACACCAGGAACAACTGAATATACACATGCGGCAATAATAAGGATTGTAATATCTTCCTGAAACAAAGACTGTAAAAACTTCTACGATATACAATTTTACAAAGCAATTAATGAAGTATAAAACTATTAAAGCATAAATGTAATGACAAAAACTTACAATAGGGCTCCAGATAACGTTTTGAGCCATTCATTTA